ATCGAATCCTTACAGTCTCCATTCTAGAAGCTGGTTGTATATGTTACTGTTCCCATTCAATAGGATGAACCATTTGCTTATCTTTGTGGCTGAGGCTTTCATCCGCCATCATACACTTGAACGTTTGGGTCAGGGCCGGGTCCAAGTGTTTCCAAATTAATTCTTACCTCGACGTTATGCTTGTGTTCTTTGCAGCGGACACAGTCACTTAGCTATCTGTGGCTACGGCGACGCAAGATTCTCTGCTTCTCGCAGTGCTTCTGGACAATATGCGAGGGAATCTTAACGTCAGTGGCTACCTTCGCCTTGGGGCACCAGGCTGTTTGTAAGGGGATGCAAGTTGGTGCACTACGTCACCTCCCGGATTTTTTCCTTGTTGCCCTGTGCTTCGGTGTGATCGTGAGGCCGTGGCTTGTAGCCCTCAGCGTAGGCGGACGTGCTGCTCGTGGGCGCGTTCTAAAGAGAGTGTGGCAAGGCCTGCGGGAACCTTTTTGCCGCCGAGCCGCCCGAAGCTGCTGGACAGATGAAGGTTGCAGTAGGTGCGGCTGTAAGCAAGAGGCCGTACGGCCGCTGCTGCTTCGAACGACAGCAGCGAGTGCAAACACGCCCGCCGCACTAGGCTTGCGGTTCGGTCGAGCTGGTCACTCATCGGATCAGTATCGCACAGAGTCCCAACCAAGTGCCTATGCAACTGATATCGCTCCTCATCAGCATCGGGACACATATCTTCTCCAGATGGGCCGAGAAGCGATTGCAAGTCCCTACAGCTCTGTCGATGATTTGCACATCACCAGCGGGCATCCGTCGATGCGGCCGTGTGGAATGGACTCGGTGGTTCATCGTGATAGTGCTTTGATCGTGGACTTCCGGGAGGAACAGACATCCGAAATGTGCCTTTTGCGTTGCTGCAAGCAGATAGGAGCGTGCTTTGCACTGTTGCGCCCACTCTGTCTTGTCATAGCCATCGCGAGCCTCCCTTGGCTTCTCACCATTATGCAGGTTTTGCTTTTCTTTGGCGAGACGAGGGGCATGAGGCAGCTTCACCTTTTGCCCTATGGCTTTCCTGCCTGGTGGCTGGTGCTACTGCCCTGCGTGGCCGTGGCGTTGCTTGTGGCGGGAGCATTTAGGCGCTTTAACATGCTTCTTGGCCCGGAGAAGGTCTTACTGGCCGCCGACGATGTCTGCGCAGCAGCGTCNGGCGCTTTAACATGCTTCTTGGCCCGGAGAAGGTCTTACTGGCCGCCGACGATGTCTGCGCAGCAGCGTCAGTAGCAGCGGTGGACGGTTCGGCTGGACAGAACGTTGATCACCGTGGACGTAGGTACAAGCAGCGGCGGCACTGCTGTGTTTGCTTCACTCGAGACACACAGGATGCGGAAGCGTCACCCCATATCTGCAGGTTATGCTGGACACTGGAGGCTGCGGATGCGTTCACGCTGAGGGAACTGGAAAGCAACCCCGAACGTTATGAAGTACAGGACTATCAGCTTGAGACGCGTTGTCTCCGGCTGATTGAGCTGGATTGCAGTTCTGCTCTCTGCCGACGCAATTTCGTTACCGGCCCCACGCTATGCTCTTACCATAAACAGCATCACACTCTGTTTCTCCAGAGATTGGCTGCTCGACTTCCTTCTCCCTTCTTTTTCTCGCTGGTGAATGGCGAGGCCGTGCGCCACTCTCTCTCGTTACATCCTACTGGAAAGGCACTGGTTCGCCCGTCGAGGACTCTTGCAATCGGTACGGCACCGTTGGGTGATGCCGCCTAGAGTTCTATGCAGCTTTCTACTGAATGAGTGTGCACTTTTCGCTCCATATATTTGCATATAGCTGAGAAACC